GTTTATAGAAATGCAAGCCTATCTCAAGAAGCAAGAAAAATCTCAAATAAACAACCTAATCTTACATGTAAAGGAGCTAGACAAAGAACAGATGAAACACAAATCCAGTAAAAGGAAGGAAATAATAAAGATTAGAGCAGAAATAAATGATGCAGAAATTTAAAAAGCAATAGAACAGATCAGTGAAACCAGGAACTGGTTCTTTGAAAAGATCAACAAAATTATGTAAACCTCTAGCAAGATTGAAAAGGGAGAGAAAGAGAGAGAGAAAGAACCCAAATAAACAAAATTAGTAATAAAAGGGGAGACATAACAACCAGCACACAAAAATACAAACAATTGTAACAGAATACCATGAAAACCTATATGCCAACAATTTGGACAACTAGGAAGAGCTGAATGAATTCCTAGGAACATATAACCTACCAAAACTAAAGCAGAAGGAAATAGAAACTTTGAGCAGACCAATTACCAGCAATGAAATTGAATCAGTAATAAAAAAAAAAAAATCCCAACAAACAAAAGTTCAGGACCAGATGACTTCACAGGTGAATTCCACCAAACATTTAAAGAAGAGTTAATACCCATTTTTCTTAACTATTCCAAAAAAATACAAGAAGAAGGAAAGCTGCCAAATTCATTCAATGAGAACAGCATTACTCTGATACCAAAACCAGATAAGACACCACAAAAAAAAAAAAAAAAGAAAGAGAGAGAACTACAGGCCAATATTTCTCATGAATATAGATGGAAAAAGCCTCAACAAAATATTAGCAAACTTAATCCAACAATATATTTTAAAAAGAATCATACATCACTGTCATGTGAGATTTATTCTCAGGATGCAAGGTAGTTTAATATTTGCAAAGCAATCAATGTGATATGTCACATCAATAAGGGAAAGGATAAAAACCATATTGTCACTTCAATAGACACAGAATAAAAGTGATGAGAATGGACATCCTTGTTTTGTTCCTGACCCTAGGGGTAAAGCTCTCAATTTTTCACCATTGAGTATGATGTTTTGGGTTTTTTATAAGTCCTTTATTATGTTGAGATATGTTCACCTCATACCTGTCAGAATGATTAAAATAAAAACACAAAAACAACAAGTGTTAGGGATGATGTGGAGAAAAAAGAATCCTATTGCACTGTTAATGGGAATGCAAATTGGTACAGCCAGTGTGGAAAACAGTAGGGAGTTTCCTCAAAAAATTAAAAATGGAACTACCTAATCACACTAGTGGGTGTTTACCCTAAGAATACAAAAATACTAATTTGAAGGGATATATGCACCCCTATGATTATTGCAGCATTATATTATTATAATTTATAATATTATAATATTATTTATAATAGCCAAACTATGGAAGCAGCCCAAGTGTCCATCTATAGATAAATGGGTAAAGAAGATATGTTACATATACACAATGGAATATTGTTCGGCCATAAAAAAGGAATGAAACCTTTCCATTTGCAACAACATGGATAGTGATAGAGAGAATACTGCTGAGTGAAGCAAGTCAGAGAAGACAAATACCATATGATCTCACTCATATATGGAATTTAAGAAACAAAACAAATGAGCAAAGAGAAAGAGAGAGAGAGAGAGACAAATCAAGAAACAGACCCTAGAGAATAAACTGATGGCTACCAAAGGGGAGGTCAGTGAGTGGATGGGGCAAGTAGGGGATAGGGATTAAAGAGTACACTTATTATGACGAAAAAATAAAATAAAATACATGAAAAAAAGAAAAAGTATATCTACAATTTATTGGCACACAAGAAAATAAATATTTTGTATCAAAAAGCCAGAGTTTTAGAGGGGCAAACATTGAAAAGATTGCGATTATCCTGACCCCAAATTAGTTTAAAACACAGCTTTATTTTTTGAAGCAGTATAGAATGTACATGCATATTTAAATGAAAATAATTTTTTCAAAATTTTCTGATTCTAAACTTTCAGGTATGTCAATGAAGCTGGAGGTTTTGGAGATTGTCCTTTAGGCTTGGTCAGTTGTTCATAGGCTTTGTTGCTGTCCAAAATTAGCTTGCTTTGCTAGTGCCCTGACGCTAATCAATGCGTACATATTTAAACCTTACAACAATAGTGTGAGGTAAGAATTATGAGCCTCAGAATATAGATAACTGATATTACAGTGTAGGAGAGTTAATAAGTTTTCCAAATTTCTACCTAATAAGTGGCAGTACTAGTATTCAAACTGAGACTCTGGGTAATGTTAAGTTCAGTGGCCAGTCAACAGGCTTTGAGTGTCTTAATTTAAAGGCCAATGGTGCACCCTCAGGCTCCGGCCTGCATTTGACATTATTTTGCACTTCTGTACTGAGCTCCAGGAAAAATTTCTAGTCTCATTGGTCACCCTTGTTCTACTTGTCCACTCTATTTCTTGCCTTTGCTGGACTGTGCCTTCACTCACATCTGATTTGGAACTTAACATTAACGATCTATTTTGTACAATTACTTAAAATAAGACGGTGTACTGCCAGGTCCCGAGAAAATGGTTTCACCCAGCAATTCAGGGGTCTAACTTTGTCTCACACAATCTTTTTTTTTTTAAAGATTTTATTTATTTATTCATGAGAGACAGAGGGAGAGAGAGAGAGAGAGAGAGAGAGAGAGAGAGAAGCAAAGGGAGAAGCAGGCTCCCAAAGGAGCAGGGAGCCCGATGCGGGACTCGATTCCAGGACCCTGGGATCATGACCTGAGCTGAAGGCAGACACGTAACCATCTGAGCCACCCAGGCGCCCTCACACAATCTTTTAATTAATGTGTGTTTTTAAGCCCTTAACCTTCATTCTGAACCTTCAGAGGAAACCAGGGCCTCAAAATCCTGACACATTCCAGATTTCTGAAGAGGAAATCCCTTTACTTGACCAAAAGCAGTTAAATTCAGGACCCTCCCCACCCTAAAGTGACCCTGTAAGTCATATAACAATGAATCCATCTTCTTTCCATTCTCTCGTTTGGTTTCTTTTCTCCTATTCTCTTTGTCCTTGTGGCTTTTTGCCACCACTATCACTGTCACTCTGATTCTCTTTCAGCAGGCTTCTAGGAATGGATGTGGGAATTCAATTTGTCATATTTTACTGGGAGTCTAAAATCAATCTTCCTTCCTTCCTCCCTTCCTTTCTTCTTTCCTTCCTTGTTTCTTACTCTCTCTGTCCCTTTCTAAATAGGAAGATGATCAGCTTGGTGCAAAAACCATGGATTTCGGAGTCAGATTCCCTACCTTATTCAAGTCATGGCACACAGAGAAAATGATACTATTCGTAGAGTATGCTGGGGTAAGGGACAGGAGTGGAGTGAACTGACCCTGAGTGAGCCCTCTACCTTGAAGCATGGTGATCAGTATCATTGGCACACAGGTATTTAAAGGTATAGGGGCTGCCAAGCTCTGAGTATTAACAAAGTCTGAATCCTGTTTTGCTGGGTAGCTGCGTTAACCTATCTCTAAGCTCCATTTGTAAACAGGCGGATTATAGCTTCCACTTCTTTGTACTTTTTTGAAAATCACAGGAACTAACTATTTGAAAAGATAGCACCACGAATATACAAAGTGCCAAGAAACTGTCTGTTTCCCTCCTTCAAATATCCCCCAACAAACCACATCTGGCTTGCAGTGTAGGTACTCACATATTTGTTAAACAAATGACTGACGTGGACATCATTATAATACAATAGGGGATAATTTGGAATCAAGTAATCTTAAATACCAGGAAGCAACATTAAGCAACTGGACAGAGGAAAGCAGGGGGCTAGGAGGTTAAATGGCTTTATCTCTGAGTTCAAGAGGTAGTGAATGTCTCTTGCTACTGGAAGTCCTTCGATCTGAAGCCGTTGGAAGGAATAAAGTAGGCTGCCGGTGTCAGGAAAAAGTCTAGTGCCTTGTTTCTCAGTTCAAAGTGGTTATTTAAATTTTCTTTGTTTTGCATTAGATTTGTCTCTGTTGTTGTTTTTTAACCTTTATCTCCACATTATTCTTTTCCTGCAGAGTAATCTGATTTTACAGCTTCTCAAGTTTACAATCCTTCCTAGGGTCAGGGGCATTCCAGTATTTCTCACCTCAGATTTGGGAATACACATCTTTACATTTAAAACCGCAAATGCTAAGGCAAACAGGATTGCATCTGAATTTCACTTGGGTGTAAAAAACAGTGAAGGAGCTTGTAGAATGTTAAGCCCAGATAGTAATTTATACTGCCTTTGTCTTTTAATTTTCCCCAGCTTCCTCTTTGTCTTTTGTTTGATTCACTTTACCTTTATTTAGCTCCTCCTTTTGGCTTCCCCCACCCCACCCATCAAGAAAAGGGCCCCAGAAACTCCAGAGGCAAATTGGAGGGGACGAAATGCAACAAGTCCATTCCGCTTTCCACCTCTAGATCTGTGGGAGGAATCCGGGCAGCGCTGGTAGCTCCTCATCCCCGCGGGGTTGTCTTCCCCAGTAGCCGGTCAATCACTATTCCCCACTTTTGCGCAACCTTCCTCCACTCCTCCTACTGTCAGTAGTTGCGCAACCTCCTACTCCACTCCTCTCAGCTGTCATGAAATCCTGGAGCACTCCTTGCCCTGGAGCCGCTGGTGTTTTTAATAACCAGGGACTGAGCTGAGTTTAAAAAAACAAACTAAGGAAACGAACACTGCGGGGGTCTTGCCGCAGAGCCCGGGGGTTTTGGTTTCCGCCGCAGGCCAGAGGCGATGCGTCTCCACCAGCTGGCTCCGCACAAATGGAGCCACAGAAACTGCGCACAACCTGTTTGTTTGAAAACTTGTTTGTTGAAAGCGAGATGGGTGCGTCGGCCTCCCCGGAGGTCCACTGGCGTGTCGGAGGAGGGAGGACGTTCTGCGGCAACAGGGCGCTTCTCGTGGGGGAGCCGCGCGGCTGGGGACGCACGCAGGGGCTGGATTTCTCCCGGTGTGGCCCCGGCCCCGCCCCCCCCCCCCCCCCCCCACAGCCCCCACTCCAGCCTGTTGCTTCTCCCGCCGCTCCAGGTCGGCTTTTCCCGGCAGCCCTAGTGTGCCTTCCAAACTCCAGGGCCCCGGGCTCCGGTTGGGAGCTGCCTCCTCCTCCCGCCCGCTGCCCGCCACCTTCTGGAAGTCGGGAGCGCCCCGGCTGTCGCCTGAGGAGTGCACTCTGGGACCTCGAGCTGCACAGCTTGCGAGGGGGAGGCGGCCCAGCCGGCGGCGATGAAGCCGTCCTGGCTGCAGTGTCGCAAAGTCACCGGCGCCGGGGGACTCGGGGGATCCCTGCCTGGGTCCTCTCCGGCCCGGGGAGCCGGCCTGGCCCGCAGGGCGTACGTGGCCCCCGGCCCGCGGGGCGCTCTCGGGGCCCGGGGCTGCCGAGCGCTGTCGTCGGTCGGTGGTGGCGGCGGCGAGTACAAGACCCACTTCGCGGCCTCGGTGGCCGACCCCGAGCGGTTCTGGGGCAAAGCAGCCGAGCAGATCAGCTGGTACAAGCCCTGGACCAAAACGCTGGAGAACAGATACCCGCCTTCCACGAGTTGGTGAGTGACTCCTTCGCCAAGCCAGATCTCTCATGACTTTTGGGCGACTGGGCTCAACATCCCTTTCACGGGGAACCTGGCATTGTATTAGGAAAGAAATTCAAGACTGGAGATGTGCTCAGATCTTTCGATTTGTTTTTAATTTAAATTTTATGGTCACCTCTCCTGCCTTCTCTTGAGGGATTGGGTTACTCATTATAAGGCCAGTTTCCAATGGCCCAGAGATTTACCAGTATGGCAGGGCTGTACTTGGCACTGGGGATGTTACACGGACTAAAGCAGGGATCTGTCTCCGGGGACAGCCCCGTCTAGTATGGGAGACAGCCACGGAAACAAATGCAAACAGTGTGATAAACTAGGGAAGTATTACCAAGTATCCACACACTGCGGGGCGGCAGAGAATTGAGGAAAGACTTCAGTAAAATCACACCCAAGTAGAGTTTGGGAGGATGGGTATATCTTCGCAAGATGAGAAGGATCTAATTATTAAAGACCAGGGATTGGAAAACAGGCTGAAATTTGACTGTTACTATGGTTGCAAATAATTGTGTTGGCTGGAGAGGTGGGAGAAGGGGCTGGTGAACCAGCTTGGATTAGATCCATAGCGCTGTTGTCTGTGTGAAGGTGCAATATGAGGTACTCCAAAATTATGCACATATAGGCCAGGTGGTGCTAGAAACCATGGTAGGAGTACTTTTTTTTTTTTTGGTCTAGAGTTGCAGTTTTAAGTAGCTATAAACATTATTTTTACATTACAACAAAACAGATACATTGTAGAATAAATGCCAAACTTGTCAGAATAGTAAGGGTGAGGCGCACAGTCTATGAAAACTCAAGAGTTGTGGCTGCCGGTTCAGCTAGGTGCCTAGTAAGAATGTGGTTGCTCTCATCTGCCAGCCATCAGGGAGAGATGTTTCCTGTAAAAGTTTGAGAAACACTGCAGTGGGGTTCCCCAAGTTCCCAAATTCCCAGTAGTGAGGCAGCGCAATGACACAGTCAGGTTTGCATTTGATAAATGTCTCCTTGTTGAAATGGAGAAAGGCAAGCCAACCAGAGCCTATTCTGTATTGTCGTCATGCCCTCTCTTCGTTGTTTGGGACAATCTACATAGTTTTCCCTTTAGAATCTGAGCACCTTTTCTCTTCTGGTTTAAGTTTTTCAGTAGAGTTTGACTAACTCTCTTTGATAAGCCTGACAGTGATCCAAGCACTGTGTATTTATATGTCTAAGTCTATATGTATACATATATTTATGTGTGTGTATATAGTATACTTATGTAGACAAATCAGTACACGTAGACATATAAGTACACACACACACACATACACACATATATGCCAATGAGTCATGATGACTAAGAGCATGGTCTGTGGAACCAGAATACTGGGCTTGAGTTCTCGGTCTCCCAGTTACTGGCTGTGTGTTCACAGCCGAGTTACTTAATCTCTCTGCTTCAGTGTTCTCATATATAAATGTGGAAATATTATGAGGCTTAAATGGGTAAAGAATTAAGACCATGTCTTGGATGAAATAGACTTTATAAATGTTGGAGGAAGAGTAGCTAGCTGTCTTTCCACTCTTACACCACAGTTCTTTCAGGAACAGGAAACCCTCCTTGTGTTTCTTAGATCAAAACAAAGATTATGGTCTTTCCTAAGAGTGTGTTCTCAAAGTTCTGTGTCTACATATCTGTCATAAAGTATGGTTTTGAAAATGATTTATGTGACCAGCCCCCAACTTAAAACCATGTGCAGAGAAGTTAATTAAGAAGTCATGGGGATATTCCAAGTAAAAACCAGTAAGGGCCAGATATAAGGCAGTGGCAGTGACAATGGAAGGGAAAGCACAGGTTTCTAGAGCTTTGGTTGGGGTTGGCAGGGGCCCAAGTGAGTGCAGAGAATGTGGAAGTCAAAGGTCCATCAAATAGGTATTTTAGACCTGGAGAGTTTTTTTTTTTTTTTAAGATTTTGTTCATTTCTTTGAGAGAGAGAGACAGCACAAGAGGTGGGGAAGAGCAGAGGGAGAGGGAGAAGCAGACTCCCCTGCTGATCAGGGAGCCCATGCGGGGCTGGATCCTAGGACCCTGAGATCATGACTTCAGCTGAAGGCAGCCGCTTAACCGACGGAGCCACCTGTGTGTTCTTGACCTGGAGATTTTCTAACTTGTTTTTTCTTCTTAAATCTCTAATTGTTTGCCTAAATTTTCTAAAATTGTGTGCATGAAATGTTTTTAATGAAATTTTTGCGAAAGGGTCTTTGTATTTTGAAAAATTCAATACATTTTAGATCACTGACATTTGATAATACTGTATCTGAACTCCTCTGTCTTTGCACTCTTGGAATCACATGGCCATATCTGTTTGATAGCAGCCCAAAAGATCAAGGTGAATAAAGATAAGTCTTTGAGTTTGTATTTATTTCAGCAGTATGATTTGATCTTACTAAGAATTTTGGTTGGCAGAGCAGAGTTCGACAGGGAAATAGAGGTGGGAGACCATATATCTAAAACTTCATCAGTAAGCAGTTTCAATTTCAAATAGAATCCATTACTGTGTTAGACACGTATTTGAAGACACTCCTTATGGGTTAACAATTTTTTATGAAGCTAAATTCAAGGGCAGGATGAATGTCTTTCTCTTGTTTTGTCTTTATATCCCTAGGATCTAGGGCAGAGCTGACATAATGAGTTTAAAAAATGTTAGTAAAGTAACAGAATACATAGATGTGATGATTTTTGCTTCCATATGTCTTTGGGAGGTAGTAAGGGGATATGAGCAAAATTTGATGTGAAAGAGACTTGCTTATTTTCTGTGTATCTGGGATCTGGGTAATGGACATGTGGACATCCAAACCTTTAAGTAAACTGAGGAGGGGTTGCTGTAGCTTTCTTCTCCTAGATGGAGCTGACTTACATGGAATCAAGATCCTTGGTGCCCTTTGACTTCTCCATCTTCATTATAATCTTGTCTGTTTTCATGAAAGTAAACTCCCCTCAGCATCTGTAGGCCTATCAAAAGCTCCAACACATAAATATTAATGCATATGAGCTTTCACAGTGGCATAAGCTAACTATCCAAGAGTAGCTTACAGATGCAGGAGTATGAACATGGAATAGAAATCCTTAAGGGTGATAAACTGAAGGGAGTTTCCATTGAAATGAATAGCCCTGTAAAATACATTTCTGGTACTGTAATCTCTGAGATCTTTGAAAAATAAATCCCAATTACATGTAGGTGCTCTAGGAAGTTGTGAAGATCCACCTTTTCTCACAGTTTGGTGGTTAATTCACATTGTTGACACCTGGCTTTTGGGGTACTAAAGTCTCTATTTTAGAGACTTCAGTGGAAAACTGCAGTCAAAGGTGAAGCAATTAGAATTCCGAGTAATTTCTCTAATCCTGGAACAACAAAATGGATGTTTGGGTTATTTTCTCCTCATGAATTAGACATCCTGCTGCCTAGCCTGAAATTGAAATTCAGCTGCCACCCTCTGAAGTAAAGATTAGGCAGTCCACTTTTGCATTACTCATTGTGGTTTACTCTTCTGTCTAGGTCATCGGTTTGTTCTTTCTGTGCAAGCAATGCAAACCATTTTTTGCTTATTTTTATTTAAACAGCATTCCATGATAAGACTCTCATATATTATTTGATTTAGAATTTCATATATAACAACAGCGACCATAAGCTGAAAAGGAAGGACTCCAACTAAATGCAGATTATTAGAAAATGATTTCAACTTGGTTAACATTTCTATAATGGAAAGTGTGTAGGTTTTTCAACATGCAAGATCTCAGTTCCTTACTAGCTATGAAATAAAGGTTATTTAATTCCTCTAAGTCTTCAAATGGTCTATAAGAATTAAAGACATCAGTCGTTCACTTACTGTGTGGATACTACAGAGAAAATGATGGAAGAGATTGTGAAGGAACTTACCACATAGCAGCAAGGGAGACATACATTAAAAAAAATTATCACAAAGCTATTTATTTAGAATTGCAATAGATACTATGAAATACAATGGTTAGTGGTGGATGTAACATAGTCTTCTCTAGAAGATCATGGAAGGAGTCTTGAGGAAATGATGTTTATACTGAGATCCCAATGCGTAGAGATTAGACAAAAGTGGGGAGGAACATTCCAGGCAAAGAGCACAGCATATGCAAAGGCCATGAGATATGAAGTAGCTCAGTAGATTGTAGAAACTGAAAGAAAGCTAATGCGGCTGGGGCTTAAGGAATGACAAGGAAATTATAAAGAAATGGAAGAAGAGGGCGCCTGGGTGGCTCAGATGGTTAAGCATCTGCCTTCGGCTCGGGTCATGATCCCAGGGTCCTGGGATCGAGTCCTGCATCGGGCTCCCTGCTCCTTGGGAGCCTGCTTCTCCCTCTGCCTCTCTCTCTCTCTCTCTGTCTCTCATGAATAAATCAATAAAATCTTTAAAAAAAAAAAGAAATGGAAGAAGAGAGCCATATGGTAAATGGTCTTGTGAGTCATTTATGGAACTTTAGATTTTTTTGTGGTACATAACATGTCACATAATGGATGACCAAAACACGAATTTCCTACTTTTCTTTCTGCACTTGAAAAGGATAGGTATGAGTTCAGCCCCACCTCTGCCACTGACCTTGGGTAAGCTTCAATGTCCTTATTTGTAAAATGAGAATGATGGTAGTATCAGTTTTTTAGAATTATATGGGGGTAGGGAGGAGCTTGTAAAATGCTTGGGGCTGTGCCTGACACACAATACTAGGTATTAATGTCTTTGGAATATGGGAAAGATATTCCTTAAGCTAATGTGGTCTGGGAGGCTTTCAGAAATATGGTAGCATTTGAACTGGATCTTAAAATAGGACGTTAGAAGAAAAACACTTTTTTTTGTGTGGGGAGCAAACATGACAAAGGCATGGAGGTTAGAAAGAATCAAGTGTGCTTATGTATAGTAGAACAGTTGGCTTGTAGAGGTTATTTTGAGTTACTGGTACAGTAGTCCCCCTTACCCAA